TTTTTTAACCCACCGTATTTTTCGCACTATCAGGCACTTCGGTGTATAAGGCGCACCTTTAATGAATGGCCTATTTTAAAACGGTTTTCATATATAGGGCGCTATAAGGCGCATAGAATAGAAGCTAAAATAGTGTCTGCAGTTTCGTTATGCATCCACTAGATGGAGATACGCTAAAGAAATACAATGCAATACAATACAGCTTTATTTATATAAAGCTTTCACAACCGGGGTTGATATTGCCTTCTGCCTTACAGAACATTTACATCCAAGAAATCAGAATACTGATCAATATATAAGGCACATCGGATTATAAGGTGCACTCTTGGCTTTTGAGAAAATTGGATGCCTTTAGGTGCACCTTGTAGTGCGCAAAATATGGTATATGAAACATAACAACAAATACGGTGTCATGAAAATAATAATATATAAAGAAAATATAACTATAATATAAAGAAAAAAATAGGTATCAAAAAAATGAAAAATCCTTCCTTTGTTATATGTAACTCATACAATTTACACACACAAAAAAAAGAAAAGGAGCCCCTTTGACAAAGTTCCTTTTAAACGAGCATCCATCCATTGTCTATTTAACCTTTAAATATCAGGAACAAAACACTGATGAAAAATATTTTTCAGACCCACGACAGAAGGTTTACTTATTTTTCATCAGCCGTCTGGGCTTGAATGAGACTTGAGGTGACAGGCGGCTGTTGTGATTTTGGCGTGGGTTATTGATCTTGGTCATAAATTCATGTACCTCCTACAAAGGCTTTATGTACATCCAGGGGGATGTGTTCCCCTGGTTGGGAGACACTGCTTTGGAAGATCTATTCAGTATCAGTGTAGAGGGACCAGAATTGATTGATGATGATGCTGGGCAGGATGTGAAGCTGTAGTTTTTCTTAGTTGAAGCCCCAATATAAAAGTAGATTGCACACGCTTCATGCCATTTGTCTCAATTTTGCAGCTCACTTTCAGCAGGTTTGATGTCACAGCTGCTTCCCTGAACATCCTCGAATGCTTCTTAGTGGACAATGTTAGTGGATAAAATGCTGGATAGTTCTGTTTCATAAATATATCTTGAACAATATGTACAGTATTTCAATCATGAGCTGTATTTAGTCTGTGAACATTCTGGAGCCCCTGACTGCAGTGAGTAGCAACGCCAACGGACAACTCATTTGGCAGTAAACATGTTAGCTTTTTATCCGCTTCATTAGAGGAGCTGAGCAGGCAATTATCACAGCTGTACATTTTGCCGAGTCAGTGTAGCTAATCAGAATATACCACAAGTCCCTCAACTGGGTCATCCGGTAGAAGTCTGCCATTCACGATTATGTTACACCTTGTAAAGCATAGATACTGTAGGCTGAGGATAATAACGGTATTAAAAGTACTGAAGTGGATTTGTCAGAAAATTGGCCAAATTAAGTGACTGGCCTTATAAAACACAGATTGGCATCGGTCCTGAATACATTGCTGCCCATGGAATATTGACCCAATAGAGTTCTGGGGTCAGCAGCCCAGAGTTCAAAGCAAACATGTTACAGTATTTGGCTGTTATACTGCATGAAAATAATGCATCTGAATAATGAAGTTAGCTCCAAGTGTAAATGCTTTTTAAATCCTGGTTCATAACTATGCTTTTCTCTCATACCTATGATTGGTCTTTTGGAGCATTTCTATCATAATTTTCCCCCAAAATGTTATTTTTGCGCTGTACACTCTTAGAATAATCTTTGTAAAATACTTTTTAATCTCTTTAATTCACCTTTATATGTTGTATTTTGGTTTGAAATTCTCTCCTGCCTTGTGTATGAAATGCAATTATATAACTAAAGCTGCCCTGCCTTGCCCTCGTTTTCAGTTTTTGTTTGAAGGTTTCAGTTGGCAGCAGACCCTTTTCAATGGCTTTTTTTTTTTTTACACTCGCTTTGCCATTATTAAGAATAGGCAGCAGACCCTTTTCAATGGCTTTTTTTTTTACACTCGCTTTGCCATTATTAAGAATATGCACGTTATTGCTGTGTAAAACCTAATTAGTGCAGTGAACCTTATGCAGAATATATGCAATTGCATATATGCTTATCTTATATTTTATATTGCATTCTCTGTTGTGTACAGTTCATTTTTAAATGACTTTGTGCATGCAAATACTACATGTTTTTCTACTTTCTTCCCACCAAATTTTTTCTGCTGTAAATTGGGAGTTCCTCCCTTGTGAGACAAAGGTTTTCCTATCTTATCTTAATAATGCTTTCATGATAACAACAGTGTCAATCCAAAACAATTATTTCTCCAAGACAGAGGATATGCCATGAAACCATATAGTTGATCATTGCGAAACATGATGAAACCACACAACACTCATCCACAAAATATCCCTGATTGCGACACAGTATGTGAAGTCGGCATTAAATGTATCTGGTACAGTATTGGTACCACCTGCTGTTTAATGGGAGCGTGTGTGTGTGTGTGTTTAAAAGTATGTGTGTGCGCATGAGTGCTGGGGTGGCTAGTCTCCAGCTCCTCTTTGCCCTCCCCTGTATGCACAGAAGAGAGTGCTTTGTCTGCGCAGACCGTCTTTTTATCTTTATATTGTAGGGATACCCTGGTACTTCACTGTCCCATTTCTTGTACATGTGCCGCAGGGGAGATGCACATGAGTAGCCAGTGTTTCCTGTCTCCCAAATAAGGCTACTTGTATTCTATGCAAAAAGTCAGACTACAGGCACTTTTCCATTACGGGTTCTTAAACGGCCCGAACTGTGCCCTGTTCCCGCTTGACCTGGCCTGGACGTTATTACTTCTCCATCTTATTTCTGTAGCAAGCTTTGTGTTACTTGACTGACCTCATGCGGTGTGTGACGCCCCAAAAGAGGTGGGCAGGATTTGCTCTGATTCACTATCTATCTATCTATCTATCTATCTATGTGTGTAATTTAGCCATAGGCTGCATGCTCTGCATAGATAAATTACCCCAAAAAGTTATTACAAAATATATATATATTTTTTTTTTTGACAAAATAATTGACATAGGCGGTACGGTAGTCATCTGGTTAGTACGTCTACCTTACTGTGCAGCGGTGTGGAGTTCGATTCCGGCTCCGGCTTTCCTGTGTGAAGGTTGCCTGTTCTCCCCGTGCCTGCGTGGCTTTTCTCCGGGTACTCCGCTGACCGCGCACATTCCAAAAACATGGCAGGTTAATGGAACACTCTAAATTGTCCCAACGTGTGAGTGTGAGTGTCAGTTTGAAAGGTTGTTTCCAATACAATACAATACATCTTTATTTATATCACGCTTTCGCAACAGCTGCAGCTGTCACAAAGCACTTTACAAAACAGTTAACATAAAATAACAATATAACACAATGTGTGCCCCGCCTACTTTCTGAAGACAGCTGGGATATGTTATAACTGTTCACTTTACCATAAGAAAGTGAAATATCATTGTTTCGCCTCACCTCAAACTGAGACATTGCTGAAGTGAATAGATGCTCTTGCAGCTACCTAAACTGTGAAAAAAACGATGTGTTGAATTTACTCAATTTTATTTTGTCAAGCGGCTGCACACAATAGAATCATCTGGATTTTGACAATTCATTATTTTTTTATGAAGGTGTATAGGCTGCTTAAAAAATGTATCTGGATCCAGAAAATGTGATTTTGTGCAGCCCCTTGACGAAATCAAATTGAGTAAATTCAACACACCATTTTTTTCCAGTGTAATCTTCACTACAGTGGCTAGAGACAAGGGTATGAGAATTAGATCACAGAGCGCTCTTTGCTTCGCTTGTATTCAGCCTCCTTTCCCTTACCAAGATAATAAAACCGTAGTTTAGCTCTTTTACTGCAATAAGGAGTTGTCCGTGTCCTCTGCATTTTCTTGGGATAATGACTCTATGATGATAATGACTTGGTGCTACTTGGAGGCCTCAAGAGCAGTCCACTGTCATCCTGATTGGCTCCGCTATCTCAATATAACACAGCTCATCGGCTCCATTTGTATCCCACCAGGAACTGAATGATTAAAGCGAGTCATTTTACAATACCTACTGCATCTGAGTAAAAACTTCAATAAATGCCAACTGCCATGTTTTTTTTAAATTACATTTTAAGTAGATGTACTGGAAATGAAACAGTATGAAAATAAATGAAATAATTACCGTGATGATAATGATCATGTCATCCTCATGTTCCTAAAAGACATAAAAACAATGCACCTCTACCATTGGCAGACATTTTATTATGATTATTAACTCATTCAATGCCAAAATGTAAAAATACGTTTTGGGTCTTTTTTTTAATTTAAAAAATATTATTAAAGGGCGTCGCGAAAGAAGAGGGTTGAAGCTTTGAGTCACCGTGCTCCTAGTAAAATATTTTTTTTCCAAACCCTACACGAAGGAAATACAATAATAATAATATTAATATTAATAATAATAACTATTATGGCTGTCACAAATGTATATGTTTAGAATTTATTTTTCCATTGATTATTTGTGGTGGGTTTTCTCAGGCTACTAGGGTTTTCTCCCGAATTACAAAAAACACTGACTTGTCCATTGGTGTGAATGTGAGTGTGAATGGCTGTTTGTTTGGATGTGCCCTGTGATTGACTGGCAATCATTTTGGGTGCCCCATAATTGCATTGGGGCCAGGTGGGGCAGTGAGCTACAAGCCCCAGGAGTGGAACCGCACTGCTTGGCATGTAACAACATTCCAGTCAAACACTTCATGAGACAGCAGACATTTGTAATACATCCTCACCCTAAAAGTGAAATGTCTCAGGTGCTGTTTGGTTTGTGGATATTACTTTGCCACCAGCATTGCGTGCATGTTATTGGTAAATGTGTTTAAATTGAAACTGTGTTGGAGGTCACACCATTTTTGTTGTCATTGTACAAGTGATGGCTTGTTGTCTTTAAAATTACACTTATTCCTCTGTTCGATTATTTCTAAAATTTCTTGATTTTTATATTGCTGATTATTTTTAGGGCAGCGACGAAGGTGACGTGGACAAGAATAAATGTTGCACACTGTGTAACATGTCCTTCACATCAGCTGTGGTTGCACAGTCACACTACCAGGGAAAAATCCATGCCAAGAGGCTAAAACTGCTACTTGGGGATCAGACCGCCATCACAACCAAAGGTATCGGCTTTTTTTTTCATTTTACATAAATGTACTGTGGTTTTATGCAACATGCATTGGAATTTTGTCATGGGGTTATTTTTAATCTCCACACAAATGAAGGGCAAAAAATATAGCACCAGTGTTATTTATTGTGCAGGGCTCCACAAGTGCAACACAGCAAAGAGTTATAAAGAAAGTGAAAAAAAAATTACCAAAACACTCAACGGAGTTTCACACTGACATCCTTGTTCTGTCAATGCAAATGCACTTATTGGGCGTAGCTTGGCAGTAGTACGCAACACCCCGACGACCCAGTACCGGTCTGAGAACCTTGCTTTATTAGGCCACAGAGATATATTAAAAAAAAACAAAACAAAACAAAACAAAAATCTTTTGCGGCGCATATGTGCCCTGATTGTACATCAACACGCCAAGAATGTGATAGACGGTTGCCGGTCCATGAAATATTGGACCATGAACCGGGCCATGGAAGAAAAAAAGATTGGAGACCGCTGCCCTACCATACCATGTGACACCCACACACCCAAACATTTGTTGCATTTGTGGTACCTCAAATATCTAAACAATGCTTTCCTGCTAAATAGCAACCTAAACAACACAAAAAGGCCACTTGGATTTCAAAATAACAGTTTCTTGCAAGATAAACACTGCGCTGATGCATAACCAATACATGAAGTTTTCATGAACGTTGAAATGTGTGTGTGTGTTTGTGTGCCTGTGTGTGTGTGTGTGTGTGTGTGTGTTTGTGTGCCTGTGTGCATGTGTACGCGTGTTCCTCATCTTTATTTGATTTGAAAACGCTCTGTTGTAGAGTTAGCTGACGGTATTCATGCATGTACTCAACACCACACTGCTTGCACACGCCACCTCACGACGTCGGCACCACACCCCACACCCACTGACACACTGTGTGGACTAAGATCTGATCAATGCCACTCCTGCCATCTCCTGGTGATTTGTCATACTGAAATAATTCCCATAGCCTCGATACTGACTGAGGAGGTGCGCGAAGCCCTTTATTATTAATTAAAAAAATAAATAAATAACGCCCAAAACGTATTTCTACATTGTAGCACTAAATGATTGGGTTTTTGGAAACTTATTTTGACGTTTTGGCATTAAATCAGTTAAACTTTTCTGGTTCATGGAGAATTACCATCAGACAAAACAAATAATGAGCATTTTCACGTGGTTGAGTTGGCAACAAACAGTCACGAGAGAAAATATGCCTTAATTCTTCTATTCTCCCAGTGTCCAACATTTTTTGTTAGAATTTGCACTAAGGGCAGCACGGCGAGCGACTGGTTAGCGCATCTAGTTTGCATGTTCTTCCCGTTCCTTTGTGGGTTTTCTCCGGGTACTCCAGTTTCCGCCCATATTCCAAGGCAGGTTAATGGAACACTCGAAATTGTCCTTTGGTGTGAGTGTGAGCGCGTCTATGAGTGTCCTGTGATTGGTTGGTAACCGGTTCAGAGTGTCCCCCGCCTACTGCCGAAGACAGCTAGGATAGGCTCCGGCATGCCCGCGACCCTCGTGAGGATAAGCGGATTAGAAAATGGATGGATGAATTTGCACCTTAATGTAATTTTTGTTGCTCTGCTCATGCGACCTGTTCAAATGGTTTTGGAAGTAAATTATGAAAATTTTCAACAGCATGATAAAAAAACATACAAACCAAACAAAAGGAGTGAAAACAATGCATCTTGATTTTTCTCATTGCTCTTTGTGGAGGTAATTAAACATCCTCTTTTCATCACATGGTTCAAGGAAGTCAATGTCTTTGTTTTGACAAAAATGCAATCATTGTCTTTTCATTAACTGAATAATGAGCCTTGTAGTCATCTACTAAATGCAGGTTTAGACAGCTAATGATAGTTCAACTAATGGCAGACATGATTGTTTCCCAAAACAAAAGAGCGTTTAAAACAAATAACTGACTGCAGAGCGTCGAGTTTTGAATTTTTTATGCAAATGATGGCTAACATTTAGCAAAAATGTAAGCCATGCTATTGGCTGTCTTTGCCCCTTGTCTGAGAGAAATACAGCCTTTACGAATGTCATCTGTGGTCAATTCTACAGCAGCGGCTGCAGTTCATGGTCAGCAAATTAAAACCAAAAATGAAAGGCAACAACTCAGATACTACACCCACTGTATTTGTGTTGTGTAGTGTTGTCTCCAACAATCTATTCATTGCTGAGAAATTCCCAGGGAAACAAGCTAAAAGGTGTGTCATTCTCTCCAAAACTATTGGCAGAGCGGTGATGCTAATTACTTTAGTTTTTTACCGATGCTAAATGAGAAGATGCAAATCACTCATTAGCAAGTAGAGTAGGAAGACAATGTTGGATTCCGCCAAAAAGCCCAAACACAAAAATTGTCCTCTTACAGACTCATGAGACAAAACATTTATGAATGTGATGGGATGGGTTAAAGCTTTGCGAAAGAAAAGAAATGCTCATGACAAGCATGAACATGAAAAGTTCACTTTTGAAACTCAATGGTGGTAGAGTCATCTCTCACTGCTTTGTGTTTTACATTTTGCTCGTCCACTGCGTTTGCACTTTTTTAGTCCAAATTTTGCTACGATTAATTTTTCCACACGGAGTGTGACTGCAGAGCAATATATGTGAGCCAGGGGAAAACAGCGCGTAATGGACACAGAATGTCCAAAGTTTGGGATAATTTCGCACTTAATAAAAGAAGCCAAAGTGCATTTGCAATGTGCCTCTTGCAAGGTACACCCATCTTAAGTGACACAACTGCAAGTTCAAGGTAACTGTATCATCAGCAAATTTCATACAGCATACCACCGCTAGTTAGAATGGTAATCCCTCCAATGGTGGTAAGGATAGACACAGTCACTCACTGGTGCACTTTCAACCACTTTATGGAACTAAGGTAACAAAAAAAAAACAAAAAAACAAAACACACAAGCACATCTGCATGCACTTACACCCCCTTGGCAAAATAAATATTTGGTCATTTGCGGAGTTCATCTAAAAAGTAGCACAGGAGTGGCGACTGGCGACTATTTTTACATGATTTACGCCATCATTTTGGGTAGATAGTCCCCGTTAAAACTTATTCACAAAAATTTTGAAATTGATCGGGCAACAAATTCAGGTAATTAGAATTACATTTTTACATGCATTATAATCTGCTAGGGCACGGCACAGAGCTTTAGGGACCTAAAAGATAGCTATGCCCACTGTCCTTTTACTCAGGCATTTGAAATGTGACTGCCGGTATGTTCACTGACCCATATAGCACAAGCTGATATGCATTATATTTTTTTGGTTAAATCAAATCAAAGCCAGGCAATGAAACATTTTGCGTCTTAATTACATAATGTTTTACGGTCGGGACATGCAACATTGATCATTATTTATTACCATTTGGGTGTTGCCATGTGCACTGCAATTTGTTCTCTGTGGAGCGCAGTTCCCAGACTCTGGTCTGATGCGAATTGTCAAGTCTGGAGGCACAATAGCTCCCGCAAATGCCACTTCCTTTAACATCAGCATCTTAGCTTGGGGAGGCATTTCCCCCCTCACATTCATTGAATGAGAAGGGATTCAGGGATTGTGATTCCAAAAATCTTGTAGCTTTTTGGAATTGTTCCGAATGTTTGACTCAACATTTCGGCATATTAAAACAGACAAGCCGTCCAAGTCAAATTAGTGTTGCAAGCAAAGAAGTGAAATTACAAAGGAATTACCCCCCAAAAGTGTATTTTGCGCTGAGAACTGCGTCTCATTTTTACGACACTCTGATTTTATCCAATCTGCTCTTAGGCTCTGAGCAAGGAAAGTTAGCATTTCTTTATGTCATGACAAAAGGCTAGCTCTCTTTCGAGAGCCGGTGTTTCCTGCAGCGGAGGAGATCTGCCTCGATGGGGTGGAGGTTGGAATTTCGAAACATAGTTCATTTGAGTTGGAGGCTGTTTGTTTCTTTCGTTTGAACAGGCTTTCAACAAATGGAGCTTTCCCGCTAGCTCCATTTTGACCCCTCTGCATGGGTTAAATTAAGTAAATTCTCTCATCTCACAGTGACGCAGCAGTCAAGGAAGTCAGTCTATTGCCAGTCTTTGATTCAAATTGTACATAATGGCATGCCATTTAAACTTTTCAGCAGCACTGGACTCACTTAGGGCACAAGTGAGAGAAAAAAAAAAAAAACAAGCGACTGCAGTGAGAGGGGGTTCTCATTTACACTCACTGGACTTCTGATACCATAAGACAGCAGGAATAGATTTGTGTTGGGCCGCACATTCACTCACAGACGGTTACAGGAATTGAGCATATAGCGCCTTTTGGACCTGTAGAGCCCTCGCTGCAAAACAGTATTTGTTCAGGTTGACCATGGTAACCATGCATTAAGACACAAGTGGGCAGCAACCGGAAGAAAGGATTCTGTATTCCATTCGTCAAGTAGAATTTAGTTTTTCCTCTTTGGGCATTTAATGGAGATAACAGCTCAGACTCTTTTTTTATTCCATTCGTCAAGTAGAATTTAATTTTTCCTCTTTGGGCATTTAATGGAGATAACAGCTTATTTTTCACTTGACTGCATGAGTAGGGCCATCGACATTGTTGCTTGGCAGCTGATCAGAGCATATTAAAGCTCTTACACCTCACTGTCAGTTGCTGGCCGGCTTGCACTTTAAAAGGCCAACATATAGAGAAGAGTGTGTTGCCGTTGGTGTTTTGAATCTTCTGGATTCATTGCTTTTTGGTGAAAATAAACTACAGGAGTGCCTTGAGATACGGGTGCCTTGATTAATGAAATTTTGACAATAAAACACTTATTTTAATCTGGGCTTGCAACCGGTAGTGGCTGGGAATTGGTGCACTGACCGGGAATCGAAAGTGTGCCGTCTGCGTGAAAAGCAGCAGCGGAGACAATCCATTAATAAACAGTAACAGGAAAACAATGACCTCGATTGGTATTGGATTAAGTAGTAATTGATCAATTCAAGTAAACTATAGTTGGCCTTGGCTTACACTTCCTTGAAATTCTGTCGCTTGAACAATGTAGTATAAACCACACTTTGAGCTACCTATCAGTTCACAATGAGATGCATGTAAGCATTGCAAAGAAAACAAAGCAACAAAAAAAAAGATGCAATTACTTTTTGCTGCAAAGCTAATACAAAGTGTAATACAATGTTTTGTCCTGCTTTTCCAAAGAGACATCTCCCAGTCCTGTAAAAGGCTCTCCAGACACGTCCCCCATGACCTCCCCCCGACACCGACGCGACTCGGATCGCTACTGCCAACTATGCAATGCTTGGTTCAACAACCCGGGCATGGCTCAACAGCATTATGATGGTAAAAAGCACAAGAAAAATGCTGCCCGAGCAGATCTGCTGGAGCAGCTGGGCAAGACTGTGGACATGGGGGATATGAAAGGTAGGGAAGCTTGACTGACCATTGTATTTCCTGTCTCTAGTCTAAGTTGCATGCATCAATTTTAGACTGATAGTGATATTTTAAAGCTCTTGTCAAAATACTAGTAGTGCATGCATCGCCAACTCAATCAGTTTACCTGCCTCTAGCGATCAGCTTATTTGTAGAACTCTGGATGTGATCAATATTTTTATACATTACACTACATTACAATTCAATCCATCTTTATTTAGATGGAGCTTTCACAACCGCTGCAGCTGTAACAAAGCGCTTTACAGAACATTTAACATTTATAACTAAATACGGTATTGTAACAAAACACATGACATGACACATGGACAGTCATGCAATCATAACCATATACCTCTTGTTGTTTGAAGCAGTTCTAGATGAAAGAGGAGAGAATCAAAGTGTCCTTTCACCAGTAGATCAGAGACGTCATGCTCAAAATGTGCACACGTCTGCTCCAAACTAAGTTTGAAAATAAGCAAGAAGCTATAGCGTCCATTGAAGAAAAAAGAGATTGGTTCACTTCTCCTGTCCCATGTAAATCCACTTCAATTCCAAGCGCCGACTCTCAGTTCCAAATACACACGCCGACGCTCCTTTCTCCTCATCCTCAGCTCCAGCAGCCCACCATCCAGCTGCACCAACGCAGACTGTCCAACAGCGCCCAAATCGCTGATGAACAAAACGGGGCTGTTACAGGCTCCAAAACCACAAGCGCCGCGGGGGCTGCCCAAAGTTGATCGTCAAATCGCGCCGACATTTCTCCCCACCAAAATCAGTGCTGGTACACGCGTGCTGTCGAGGAAGGCGCAACCATCAAGCACAGATTCTTCTTCTTTGACAAATATCGCTGAAAACAGTCCACAACGGCACCACACGAAAGGACAACAAACACCATATATGACAAAATTAAAGAAAAAAGCAACAAAAAAAGCAGAGCTCTTGAAGAGCTCTCACAGTCTGCTGTCAACTATGGCGCCATCTTGATTGACATTTTGACATTTGAATCACATCCCAATCGACGTTTCAAGTCTCAGGCTTAGATAATAACAGACTTATGGGCAGAATGTAATGCATGTGCTGTGTCTTCCCCTTGTATCTTTTATGACAACAGGCAGTTGTATTCCAACGTCAATGAGCACATGTAAAAATAATATGCCCAATGCATATTAATATATAATTTTTAACAAATATAGAGAAAATTTAACTCCTCATGTGGAAAGATGTCATATCCGCAGCAGTGAGAGCTTCTGCTTTTTTAATAACTGAGGGCCATGGTCTCAGACTCAGAGGTGCTTATTCTCATCCGTTCGTTTCACGCTCGGTTGAGAACAACTCCCAGAAGAGTTGAAGGTCAAAGCTTAATAATGCCAACAGATACACATCACCAGGAAAAAAAAACAAAAAAAACAAAACAGACATCAACATTTAGGTCAGCAAATCCTGGGGTCTTGTTTACAAGTGAGGGAAGATTGGAGCGGGAGATCTACAGCTGGCTCAATACCAGCATCTGCTGTGATGTGGCCTCGACTCTGCATCGGTCTGTTGTAGTAAAAAAAAGATTGATTGGATGAGCTATGTTCCCATCCTCACCTGTGGTCTCAAGCTGTGGGTTGTTACCAAAAGAAAAAGATCACATATAAAAGCGGCCAGAATGAGTTTCCTCCTCTCAAGGTAAAGTGAGAAGATACTCTAAGTCATTTTGGAGAGGCTCATAGGAGAGAAGCTTCTCCTTCGTATCAAGAGTGGACAGAGGTTGTGGCTTGGTCGTCTGGTTTGGATTTTGTCCTGGACGCCTCCCTGGTGAGGCGCTACGGACTTGTCCCACCGGGACACGCTGCAGAGTCGATATGTCTCCCGGCTGGCATGGAAGCAAGATCCCCAATCTAGTGTTCTTTCGTTAGGCTGAAATGACTGATGCGCATTTCTGTTTGAAATAAAGACATCTGTTTTCTGTGTCAGGCTCAATTTAATCTAGTCTGTTCAAGAGTCTCAATAACCTCAGTCAGGACTGTGAGAAAATACTACCCTAGTGTTTGCAGTCTATTTAGTGGAGAACCTGTGAAAGTAGACTTGTAAAGGAGTGCTTGTTTTCTAGTGTTTTGAGTGTTTTTGTTTTGATGTGAATTAGTGAAAGTGTATTTCCCAGAAGAGCAATCTGATCTTAAATAAAACCATCATAGGCACTCCCACACTCCCCCGTCGAAAAAAAATTATTTTCAGGCGCTTCGAAAATGGAACTGCATGTATCTGTATTTATTTAACAAAGGTCATTTACACAACACCGGATGGATGGAAATAACTGTATAACTATGGACAATGTAATGGAGCCAGCCTAGTTACGCTCTCTAAAATGTGCATTGGGAGAAAAAAAAATCTAATGAATCACCATCGTAGTAGTTCGGCACTGCAGCTTAGGTTGGCTTCCGAAAATAATCTTTTTGCAGCGCCATACTAAACTCTGAATATTCTTACAACTGTACGCAGCTTTGCCCAACATGAAGTCATGTTTCTAAGCGAAAATACACACAAAGACACACACAAAAAAATAGCACCAAGGGCGCTATGACGAGATGACCACTATGCCTGCTGGGGAGTCGATGCATTTTGAGCTGTCGATGCTTCTGAGACCCAGAAATGGGCGCTTTACCCTATGTTGCCAGTCCGTCTTCCTTCCCTGACCTGGGTAACCCTCCGTCATCATCCGTCTGTCCTTATTCATATAAGAATTCCGGTTAATCATTGTCCTTTTAAAGTACTTAGGTCCCAGTCCGCACCCCACCACCCGAGCTCGACAAAAAAAAAAAAGCGTCCGTGCATGACACCGTGGGAGTGAGGCATGGAAATGAATACCCTAAAGACGAGACTTACCTTACTTTGCTCCATTCATTCACGTAGCACTGCCAAGCCCATCTTGAATGGCGCCCTTTGCGACAACCACAAGAAAGTACCAACCGGTATTATCATAGACAACGTTTACATTACATATACAAAGACACTTTGAATACGTCGACACCTCAGCCGCAAGAATTATGGCGAAATATCAAACTTTACGTGCTGCACTATTCATTAATGACACACATTAATTCTCTTGCTCTTATCAATTCATAATGAAGTGCTAAATCCTGCCAGCCAACCCAAGCCAGCATGTATTGACGAAATAATCCAGTGAGCACAATTGCTAGGTGGCAGCCGTCTGTTTGTTTTGTGACTGTTTGTGTGTGTGTGTGTGTGTGTGTGTGTGTGTGTGTGTGTGTTGGGGGGGTTAAAGGAAGCAGCTGCTGCTGCTGCCAAAGCACTTTTCTCTCCATCTTCATCTTCTTTGCCATTTTTATCCCTTTTTCTGGTTTATCTGATGCTGCTTTTCCCTCAATCTGACCCCAGCATCATCCTCTCAATCTGCTCAGCATGTTGATAAAATGAACAGCCTGACTCTGCAGATGTACATGTGATGAAATATTCAGGAGCTCCTATGATAGAAGTTCCATCACCATGGAATGTGCTGCTTTGTTGTAGAAATTGTCATCCATGAAAAGGTGGAAAGGTAAAATGAGAAAGTATAGCGGAACAGTCACCATCATGGGTACACCGTGACTATTTTGTTCATATTTTTGACGTGGAACAGGGGTCATCGTTGACCATACAACTCATTGTTTCAAGAAGCAACTCACCAAGTGACAGTTCTGTGGAAAATATTTTTTCTTGGGATGATTTCTCTGTCATTTCTCTTGGTTATCAAATGTTTACTTGTCTTTCTGTGAAGTCATTTTATAATAATATCCATCCATCCATGCATTTTCTGATCCACTTATCTTCACAAGGGTCGTGGGGCGTGCTGCAGCCTTTCTCAGCTGTCTTCAGGCAGTAGGCGGGGGGACACCCTGAACTGGTTGCCAGCCAATCGCAGGGCATTTTAAAATAATAATAATAATAGTAATAGTTTGCGATTGGGACGTGAATATGGCAAGATTTTGTTTGAATTTGCATTTCATAGTGTCTGATCACCCGTTTCTTTGACACAGCATCAGGAGGTGAATGAGCAGACTCAATGAGGTTTCAATAGTGAGGAAAAGCCCAATCAACATTTTACCCATTTCATTTTAAGCATATGATCATTATTGATCAATAGTACTGTTAGTACTTAAAATCATGAGCATGTTTACCTGAATTGTCACGAGTAATTTAGTTGTGGAATGTAATAAAGGTGAAGTAAATTTTACTCAATGTATTTTTAAGTATTCCACAACTTTTGAATTAAGGTACTGAAAATATATTCTTAAAATTTACGAAATGAAAGTGGCTGCAAATTAATACCCGGCATTTATTGGGTAGATTTAAGAATTAAGAATCAAATTGATGAGTGTTTTGTGTGTCACTCTTCTAGCACAAGAAAAAAATGACAAGGAGAAAAAAATCAATACATGTCCGTACTGGGCTTTAGTTGATGTCACATGACGACAGCTCTAGTGGCGGAACAATTCCTATTTCAGAATTGCAAATTTGCGCAGTTGCTACCTGCATTATTGAGAGATTTTCTGATGCATACACCCGAATGAACCCATCTGAAACCCAAGTCAACGCTGCTTTGCTCGTCTACATTTAGCCACAAAATGTCGGAAAATGTGCCTGTGCTTCAGAAGTCGCACTCTTTAAAACACAGTCATTGATGATGAATGAAAGCAAAACGCAATGGACGTCTCTACGTAATAGAATTCAAGTGAACCAGGCCTTTCCCAAATAATGCTTTCCACATCAACAATATATGGCTGTTATTTAAAGAGAAAACAGCAATAGAACGTGTGGAACACTCGTTGGTGATGTCACTTCCATCCATTACCTCGGCAGAGAGAAGAGTGGTACATTACTTGATGGCTGCTGTCTGAAGCATCTTTTTTGGGTGTGTCCCAGAGGACGATTTCAGCCCGAGTAGCACCACAAAATGCTCCTTCACAGCTTCCCTTCAGTTCAGAAAGAAAACTCTTTCCCAAGAAAGT